AATTCATTTTATTTAAGAACTCATGATGACTGGGATGGAATTTGCTCAACAAATGTAATATAAAGAACTATAATGGGCCCAATTGCTTTAATTTTTGAGGAAGTAAATGCTTTTAAAATGCTATACTTGACATGAGATGTATGCTTTTTAGTCCTGTCCTCCTCCCATTGCTCATTCTTCACTTGACACCAGAATAATCTTCGTAGAACACAAACGTGATCAATCGTGCCCCCTCCCCCTTTAAAGCCCTACAGTAGTTTCCCGTGACCAGCATGCTAAAGTGCAAAGTCTTGACAAGGCTTGTCTAGAACCCCCTGCTTTTCTCTTCAGCTGTGTTTCTCTTTGTGGCTCTCCTTTGCGTGCTATTCTTTAGCCATTCTTCTCTCATGCTTCCTCTCTCCAAGCCTTGGTATATGCTATTCTCTCTGCCTCTGACATGCTCTCCTTCACCTTCCCCCATGTCACACACTTCTCCTTTGTTTAACTAATTCTTATTCATCATTCCCTGATCCTCACTCAAGCCCCCATCCCCATTAAACTAGGTCAGGGGCCCTACTCGGTGCTCCCTTATCCTAGCCCTTACCACCCTTTATTGTCCTTAATGTTTAATTAGTCATCTCTTTCAACAGAGCGCAGAGAATGGGCCTGCCTTAGTCACCATTATGAGCACACGGTATCAATAAATATTTATTGAATAAATGATTATATCAATGATACCTCTAAGATCTACTGAACTGCTCTGTCAGAACTTATAAGAGGATCACACAAGAACTATTGATACCTGAATCAGGCTACTGTAGAAGCAGTTAAAATATGTTTCCCTTAGCCAAATTCCTCATCTTGGCCTACAGGAGGCAGTGACACTGTCACCTGGAAGCCCTCTGCGACCTGAAGCTCCTTGCGTCACTCAGAATGGGCTGTCAGTCTTCTCGCTCGGAGCTATTTGGGCAACTCTCCTAAGCCACTACCTGGGAGTTCTTAAAATATGATTGTCCTGGGTTAGTCATGGATCAAAAGTGCCCTGTGTGTTCAAAATGAAACTGAAGCTAACGTATTCACTTCCTTAACCACGGACCGAGAGGCATACCTTTGGCACAGATTTTGGTTGCTTCTAGGAATCAGTTTCTTGCTGATCACAGCATGCAAAATGTGGCTGTATTTTACATGGGTATATGCTCCCCAGCTGATTCCCTTAAGGCAGTGTTTTCAAATTTCATTTTATTCCCCCTCCCCATGCCAAGAGGCAGTTGGTAATGTCCGGGGCCATTTTTTATTCTCATGACTTGAGAAGGGGCTACTGGCATTTGGTGGGTAGAGGCCAGGGATGATGTTAAACATCCTACAATGCACAGGACAATCCCCACAACAATGAATGATCCAGCCCAAAATGTCAATAGTGCCGAGAATGAGAAATTCTATACTGAGGTAACACTCTGTAGCCACCTTGGTTCACAAGACCTGTTGCTGTTGTGTACCATCAAGTCGATTCTGACTCCTAGCAACACTATAGGACGGAGTAGAACTGCCCCATAGGGTTCCCTAGGCTGAAATCTTTACAGGAGCATATCTCCAGGTCTTTACTCTGGAGGAGTGCCTGGTGGGTTTGAACCGATGACCTTCTGGTTAGCAGCCAAGCACTTAACCACTGCACCACAAGGGCTCCTTCGGTAAGAACTTGGACCTACTTATCTGTGGTGCTTTCTAAGATGTGCGGAAACAAAGCAGAAGACTGAATTAAAGAACAGTAAGAGAAGGCTGTCGTTCTTCTGTATGTGACTAGAAAGAGATTCACAGTCTGTCTCTAAAGTAGAATAACTCAATTTAGGGAGTTTTCCTCATTAGATCGCAGTCCTAGATCCATGAATCCCCTGTAGAAATCCCATAAGGCAAAGCACTAGGCATGGAATTAAACAGACTCTTGAATTTGAAAAGGAGTTTTGGTGAAATCAAAACCGTATTTGTTTTTCACAGTGAAAATGTTCAGGTCATTTTCTTTTCCTTAGAGTATAACCATTTGGACAAAAATATCCATTTGAAATGCAGGTGAAATGTAAACTGCTACTCTTCTACACAGACAATCCAGTGTATTTATACTTAATCCATAAAGGCATGATGTTACAAAACACATTTGTATATTATGAAGCCATGTGGCATCAAATTTTCCAATTTATAGACAGCTTTGTATTTACATAACAAATTATTAAATCAACCATTTTTCCGGTTTATAAAAGGTCACTGAGGTACACACACAGTGTGTATAAAAGCAGATAAGGCTGATAATACATATTTACAATAAATACAAATTAATCTTTCATATTTGAAGATAATGCTTTTTATATATTTGTTTCTATATCAGACTCCTCACTGTTAGCAGGATTTCCCATGCTTGAGTTGTTTATTGCTTTTTGGCTCACTGATTTAATATTCACTTCTGGGTTGTTTACACATATGAATTTCTAATGTTCTTATTTCTTTGGCTAATGCAAACATGATAGAGTGAATGAAAGAAAAAGAGAAACTAATTCATGATTACAGATCTGGCTGGGGACATTTTTTGTTCACAGCCCCCAAATGATGCACAACTCACCTCATACACGACATGAAAGCCTTGAGTCTCGCATTACAGCATGTGGGCATGAACAGGCAAAGTAAACAAGAGACCAGATTTTAGGTAAGGTCTAGAATTTTAGCTTCCCCTCCACCCCACAGAAAGGCAATGTCACCAACATCTGAAACATCTTAGATTTTACAATCTTAATGCAAACTTGTGACTTGCAAGGGAAACACTGCAGACCACATGGAAAATTACCAAAGTTAAAATTACCAGTGTGTTATCAGGGTCTGAAACGAAAAAAGAATAATCTCATGGGATAACTCACTTGACACTCTTCATAAAATTTAAAGAAATTGAAATAACCACTCTCTGCTCCTCCCACAATCTGCTGCAAGGTTATGTTTAAATGAGAAGGCTGTGTTTACTTAAAAAACTGACATAGTAAATAAATAACTCAAAGGCAGGGTCCAAATGAAAGATTAAAACTGGCCCATGGTATCACAAGGGGTGAATATGCTCCTTAAAGCATTTTCATTCACAATGGGACTGAAAAGTACAAACCAAAAATGTTCCTTTAAATAAATAAAGGCCCCAGACTGCTTTTAATGGGACACGTAAGACAAATCACACAAGAGCTGCTCAGTTATTTTTCACTCATTTGAAATGATATTGAAAAACTACTTAAAGGTGTAGTTTATTCTCTTTGTGCTTCCTAGGATTGTTAAGAGGACACAAAATAAAATACATTTCCTTTTCCAGCAGGGGACTATTATGTTCTTTAAAGGAGCAAAATTTTTTCATTTTGTTTCCATTCTTGGATTTGTTTTTAAAAAAAGAAAAAAGACTTTTTTTTTTTTTTAAGGGAATAAAAAATTTAACAAGTAGAAGAGCGGGCTTTCATTTTTTAAAAAAAGGGAATTGGCTTTAATACAAAGAGAAAGAAAATGGCTCTATGGGCAAAATTCAAGTATGAGTGACTAATTTTTTAATTGTAAAGTAGGTGCAACATTTAAAAAAATGTTACAGCACTGCATGACCTGTAATGCTAACAATATTTACATTAACTGCTTACATGAAATCATAAAACTGTAAAATAAAGAGAGGAAAAAAGAAAAAGCCCATGTAGACTGAAACTACACCTAGCACCCACATCAAGCCATAAGCCACCAGTGAAATCATGGGCACAAACATACTTTACATGGTCTACTGATGTAAAGTATACATTGGTGGGAAGGTACAACTTAACTAGCTTAAGATATCAAAAAGGAGGGTTGGTCAACACAACCTCAGTCTGAAGACAGAAAAGGCTGAAAAAAGAAAACAAAAACAAAACTATACACACACTTATATGCACAGACACACCCCAACACACGAGCACACACGTGTCAATCTGTGGATAACAAACCACCATGTGGACAAACCCGTAGAAAAGCAGGCTGATGCAAAAATAAATAAATAAATAAAGGACAACATTAATGACTGAAACACACCAAACACATCAACTTGTAACAAAAATGTGTCAACTAAACTACACAAAAGTCACTGAACAAAGGACCGTGGGAGGCAGTCCTGCCACTGCAGGAAAGACAAAATGAATCTACCCCCAAAAGGAAGGGTTCCTGCCTCCAGGCCGTGAAGCCTAGTGTAGCCAGTTGCATTCCATTGGGCTTAGGGGTAAGTAGGGGTTAGGATGGGAATGGAAAGGACAGGGAGACGCAGGAGATGCAGGAGACTGGGAAGAACTAAGAGCTGTTGCTATCAAAAGTGAGCCCAGGTGGCGCGCTCTGTGCTGTGACCCCAAGAAACCAACTTGAGGAATGACCTTGGTCTCCTTTTTTCCTGAGTTACTGGAACTCTGCTACATCACAGGACTGAGGCATTTGGGGTAGATGAGAGAGGAGGAGACCCGGAGGTGGTGGGCACTGGGGACTTGAGAGCCTGCTATTGGATAGCCTTTCAGCAGCCTGGGCATGATGCGGCTGAGTGAGGCCCAGGCTAGAGGGTAAGGCAGCGCTCACTAGGGGTTTAAGGTGGGGGCTGGTGGTTCTAAGAATAAAGGGATAATGAATCCCTTCTTTTGACGATCCATCAACTGAAGTCAGGCTGGAGGCCTGCAACTATGCTTCACTGCCTGGGAGATACGGTTATACCACCACTACATTGTGAAAAAAAAGACAGAAAATAATGTTGTGCTACATTTCTTATTAATTACCTTGTACTTTACAATGGCTCACAGTTTTAGGTTTGTCTATGTGTAATGTAATTTTTTCTCTAGATTTGTTTCACTGTTTTTTTTTTACTTAATATAATATAAATAATTTGGTTAATAGATTTAACCTGCACATTTCAGCCACATTAATATATATAAGAATCTGCTAATGGTATAAATAATTCTTTAAATAAAATAAATCTGATATGTTACATAATACTGATAAAAATTACCATTGTTAATAGTTTTATAAGCCACCTTCTGGTTTAAGTAATACTGATGAATGGATATGAAAATTGCTGTGATGATTCATATTTATTTTTGCCACTACCAAAAAAAAAAAAACGGAATCATAATCAACCTTAACTCTGATACTGGTTTCAATGGGGCCTTTGCCTCCATGTATGCAAACAGAAAGTTTTACCTTGTCGGATATAGTTTGCCAAAAAACTCAGTTCTGATCATCAATGGTGGTGCAGTATAAGCAATCGAGTTCAACAGGTGGCTATGACACGTTACCTACAGAAATGGCTGAATAAAATATTACATCTAAGATTTTTTTATAAAACCTATTCTACTTTAAAACTTAGGTAAAAAAAATATGCAACAAATGGTTGCAGTTTCTGAATTCTTAATTTAGACCTGTGAGCCCTCATCCCTTTAGAAACTGGTAAGATTGCAATTTCCTAGACACCCGAAATCGAGTCCAGTGCTTCCAGGCAAGTTCATTCCAAACAGACAATATAAATGAACACTCAGTGGTGTGAAGTGTATGTCATAATTCAGGTATTACATCATCATGCCTTTTCTCTGCTGTTAAATACAAAAACAGCATCTTTTACATTATCATAGAAAAGCATTTAGGTTGTATTTTTATTTATCACTTTACACTGGTAGTCTCTGGTAAGTGTACTCAATAGAAACCAAAGAATTTTGTACACTATTTCTTTGTACAATAAAAGATAAAGTGTGCATTAGGTACGCTTGTACATGACAATATTGTACAATATTTACATTTCTGATATCACCATGAAATTCTGTATTTTCTATATACAACATTGAAAATTCTTCAGAAACATTTGGACTATTTCTTATAATCACAATTTCAGTATTATAGAAAAAAGAGTTTCTCAGTAATCTCTTGACCATCCACAACTACCATCTTTCAGGGATTTTTGATTTGTTTTTCCAGCATTCATGATCCTTCCTGATCAAAAAATATTGTATCACTGTTTCTTTTAGCACCCTGTGGTGGTGGTAGCTATCTGCCATAGTATAAATATTGATCTAACCGTGGCTATATCAATACCTATGTACAGATATATCTGTGCACGTTCCATTTGATAAACACTGCGCATTAATGGAGTAGTCCCTGTTATCTGGAGATCTTCCTCCTCTTGGGTTTGGGGGGTCTCATTTGTCTGTCTCCCTGTGGGATTTGGTGAACCTGGAAATAAAGAAGTGAAAAAAAAAAAGAGGTTAAAATAGTAAACAGGATACAATTTCTGACAAAAAGCAGGGTAGGGGACAGGGTCTGGCTCTCATTTTCAATCACTGATATCCTTGAGGCATTTAAATTTTCACCAAGACTCTGATCTCAGTGTGCCTACAGCCACTGCAGAGAATGAGGACTCCTAGAAACCCATAAGCAGAGAAACACTCTGAGGACTCCAGTAAACAGTGGGACACAAAAGATGACTGGAGAAAATCAAGTGGGAAATGTACTATGCAGTTGCTACATCCACTGCACATTTAAGACAAAATAAAGCCTTCCCCATCAGAGATCTGTCCCTAGATCACCAATTTCATTACCACCTGGAAAAGTAATTACATAGCAAGCATGTTTTCATCTTCACTTCATCACCCTACTTATTTTACAACTCTTAAGAAGGGTCAAAAATGATAAGGATATGTACACATAGCTCAGCTCAAGGATGTTTGTTTATGAGAAGAATAGGATGGAAAATAGAATACCACTACCATCTGTTGGCAGATCTGAGCTTGTGTAGTCTGGAAAGACCAATTAATACAGCTGTCTATGTACTAATGTAGGAACTAGCAGCAGTTAGGGCTGTGTATCAGACTGAACAGGGGTTGAGTAGCATCAGAGCATGACTACCAGGTATTAGAGAGCAGGTATAGTTTTGAGGGGCAGAGGGGCAAAGGGTAAGTGCTAGGGAGGGATCAGTTACCCCTCATTGTGTTATGGCTACTGATGGGAGGAGGCAAGGTCAAGACCCAGGAATGCAGAATGGGTCCAAGGAAGTGATGTAGAAAATGCATAACATCCAGCTCTCTTCGAGGGGGTGGGGGTGGGGGAAGAAGGGGACACAAGCCCATTGTAGCATTTGCCAATTTCAGTTGAGGAAATACTTCCAACACGGCCAATTTCAAGCTACCAATATGATATCGTGGAACTCAGAGCTGGGAAAAGATGTGCACAATCAGCTCTCAGGATCTGCTACAGCTGTCTCCACCACACTATTAGCCTGTATTTCTGTATAAAACATATGGAACTTACAATGTTTCCAGCTGTAACAGAAATCTCATAGGAGAATGGTTTTTACAGGAGGAAGAGTGAAAATCAACCCAGGAACTCTTTCAACTGTAATTAGTCTTGTTTGTACCATTAAAAGCAGTCACGGTGTTCAATAAAGCAAACTTTACTGCCATCCACAAAACAAGTAAAATTCACCAGTTGAGTTTAGATCAAGAGTGTTCAGAACTCTCATATCCTTTCTACCTCAATTATATGTTTAAAAATAATGTTTAGACAACACCAACGGCCAATGCTATTCAGGCCAAATACAGAAAGCTTTTTAAAAATAGTATTTAAACTTTTAAAATTATGTTTATAAGTTTCTTAAATTGCCTTTTCCCCTCCAGTCTCTGGTAAGGAGTCCTGGTGGCACAGTGGTTAAGTGCTCACCTGCTAACCGAAAGCTTGGTGGCTCGAACCCACCAGCTGCTCTTCGGGGGGAGAAAGATGTGGCAGTCTGCTTCTGTAAAAATTACAGCCTTGGAAACCCTAATGGCGCAGTTCTACTCTGTCCTATAGGGTAGGTATGACTCGGAATTGACTCAACAGCAACATGTTTGGTTCAATGGGTTTTAGTCTCTGGTAAAGAGCCGTAACTGAGAGCTTTTCTAACTTGAGAAAAGAAGCTTTTATCAGAGATTGCACAGTGCTAATCTGTAGACCAAATGTAGTCTGAAGATGTGTTTCATTTAGCCATATCATGTCTTAATATTTTTAAAGTAGTAGTCAACACTAAGAACATGAAAAAATTTGCATAAAAATCTATGTTTTTAGCTTTTCATGAAAATGGGAATATCTTGCAACATGGGCATGGTTTCCCACATGGCTAAGAACTGCTGGAGCATGGACAAGGAGCTCCTTCTGGAGACAGCACATGCCCTCCAGGTTGCCACAGTCCCCATCACTCTTGACTGCTGCTGGCCACAAAGGCCAAATGTCCTAAGGCAAAGACTAGCAAGATGCTCCCCAAATCTATTTTCTCTTTTTCCTGGACAGACACACTGTATATATTTCCCAGTTCATTTGAGTTAAGAAGGCCATACAGTTGAGTCAGGTCAATGGAGTACGAGTGGAAGTGATAAGTTTCCAGGCCTGAACCATAAAACGTATCCCAACAGTGCTCTGTGAACCCTCTCTTCCAATAGGGTACTGTGAGGCCCTATAGAATGATGGACAGAGAATCTGGGTCCCTGAATAACTGCGTAGAGCAACCCCTTCTCCAACCAGCACTAGACCCAAGTGAGCAATAACCTTTACTGTTTTGAGCCTCAAGGAGCCCTGGTGGCACAGTGGTTAAAAGTGCTTGGCTGCTAACTGGAAGGTTGGTGGTTCAAACCCACCAGCCGCTCCACCGGAGCTTCTGTAAAGATTTACTGCCTTTGAAACTCTGTGGGGCAGTTCCACGCTGTCCTATAGTGTCACTATGAGTTTGAATCTACTCAGTGGTAATGGGTTTGGGTTGTGGTGTTCAGCCTCTGAGAGTGGGGGCTGGTAGTTGGCCTTCCTTGACCAATGCATTCTTGTTGGTATTTCTAAACCCACTTGAACTGCTATTTCTATTATACCTCACCGACTTCACTTATTGATATTACTTGTCTAGTCCTAGGCAGCATTAGGAGCCCTGGTGACACAATGTTTAAGGGCTTGGCTGCTAACCAAGAGGTCCGCAGTTCAAACCCACCCAGTAGCTCTGAGGGATAAAGACCTGGCAATCTGCTCCCATAAAGATTACAGCCTAGAAAACCCCGTGGGGGCACAGTTCTACTCTGTCACATGGGGTTGCTATAAGTCGAAATTGACACAACAACACACCACTACAGTAACACCAACAGAAGGCATTTGGGAATCCCTGAGTGGAGCAAAGGGTTAAGGTGCTATGCTGCTAACCAAAAAGCTGGTGGTGTGGACACACCCCAGAGATGCCTTGGAAGAAACGCCTGGTGATCTGCTACCGAAAGTTCACAGCCATGAAAACCCTATGGAGTAGTTGTACTCTGTACACATGGGGGTCACCATGAGTCAGAATTGACTCGACGACAACTGGTTTGGTTTGATTTTGGTTAGAGGGCATTTGAGTTGGCAGTTTCTGCTCTAGATTTTTCCTATGTAAGGAAATTTAATCTCTCAGGGTCTCAATTATTCTATCTGTGGAATGAGGGTGTTAGATTATAAAATCTCTAAAGCCCATACCCATCTCAACATTCTGTAAATCTGTCATTCAAATAGTCATCAGATGGGATGTTTGGATTCAGATAATCTTGTTAACACAAAGTATCAGGGAAAAAAATTACCTTCTGTTGTTGAATAGACTTAGATAATTCACATTTTTGAGAGATTATCAAAATTATATTTTGAGTGTTTACATTAGCCAATATGTGAATTAGAGGATAATGATTAAACATCTCACATTCAGTGTCATTTTATGCAGAGCTCAATGAAAATGTAAAGAAAAAGTAAAGACACTACTCAAAAACCAGAGTTATTGGCATTAAATAATTTAACAACAAAATTATGTGCCAAATGTTTGATGTTTTAGGTAACAGTAGAAAGGAAATACGAGTTGGTCTCGACCCAACTGTTCAATTTCACTTTTCTGTTCCACAGACAGAGTGAAATTTACATTATTGAATATTTAGACGATGGTAATGGCCACTGCTATTCAGGGTCAAATGCAGAAAGCTGTTGTTTGAACTTCAATATTTTCCTGCTCTAAGTTTAAATGAATGTTATGTTGGAAAAACAAAAGTTAACTTATCTCAAAAAAAAGACATAGTTGCCACTGCTAGGTTATTCTTTAAAAATTACTTTGCATCCTTGTTGATATCTGTCTTTTTTCTAGCCTAGTAATTTAATACTGACTGCTACAACTTGAGTTGCTTGACAATATTCCAGAGATTTTACCAAAAAGTGTAAAACAATTTATTTTCAAAAAAGCACAGCATAATGGAAAAATAAATTAACTTACAGTCCCAGACATTTTGTCCAGTTCACTCATGGCCTCATGAATAGCAGCTTCTAAATGGTTATTTAGCTTTCCACTTCTAGAATTAATGAAAACAACATACCAGATTAATAAAGTAAAGAAACAATATCTCAATTTAATTTCCTAATCAGAAAACAAAAGTACCAGTTCCACCAGAGAAAGTCAATTTATATTCACATTTGACAAATTCAGATAACAAAACATCACTCTGGGTTTCTCCACTGAATACTAATGATAAAGTCACAGACCTATTTTTAAAAAATGAACACATGAGGTGGGGGAAATGAATTCTTTCTCCTTCACATACTTCTTCCACAATCTGGTGTAAATTTGGAAGAAAGTTGGGCCGCAGGCCTTCTTCCCACAAATGCAGCTCACGTTCTCACAGGTGTGAGCTTTGTCTCTCAGGCAGTCAGGCTGTGTGGCTTGGGAAGGGCGAGGGGCTGAACTGCAGGCTCTGGCCACTAGGGAGCTCCCTCTCCTCTCTCTGAGCACTGTGGCATCTGAAGTTCGGCAAGAGAAGGCTAAAATCCTGGTGCACATTCTAGGTGAGAAACAGCTTACCTCACTGCACCTGAGGTTCTGTGCCTGGGCCCACCACATTTTCCTAAAAACCAAAATGATGTAACTATTTGAACAGATAAAATGACAGTCTCAGAATGTCTATCACTTGTCTGACCTTTTCATCACACGTTTGGTCTGAATAACACACACGTTGTACATCTGCCATTTTTGAAACTTACATCTTATGAAGCTATTGAACTGATTACTAAAATCAGTCAAATCCAGACTAATACTTCTGCAGTTATTGTACCTTTTGCCTATTCTGACTGTTAACTTATTTTTCCTCCTTTATGCATATGGTGGCACAGTGGTTCAGCACTTGGCTGCTAACCAAAAGGTCAGCGGTTTGAACCCACCAGCTGCTCTGCAGGAGAAATGTGGCAGAAGCTTCTGTAAACATTATAGCTTGGAAACCCTATGGGGCAGCTCTGCTTAGTCCTATAGGATTGCTATGAGTTGGAATTCATTCGACAGCAATGGGTATGCATATAAATAATTACCCAATTATTTTGAGTACGAAGGTGATTCATTTCATTTATCCTGTTCTGACAACTACTGGAAAAGCTGCAGAGATAAACTTTTTTCATAACAGGCTGTTAACATGGCTTTCTAAGAGTTAAGTCTTATCTCAGCCTCTATGTGGAGATGGGAAATTTGCAGTTGTGGGAGAATTTGGCTCACAATCTCATTTAGTTTGACTACCATAGTTTATAAAAACATTTTTGAACTTGAACGCCTTTAGATGAGGCCTTTCAGTTTATCACTGTCCTCATCAGGATTCATTCTCATACACCAGGACTGGAAAATTTACATATTTTGTTTCTGTCTAGTTCTTGGAGAACTCTGGGTTTTCAACCCCTGAGTAGCATATTGCTAGACAAATAGTGGATGCCCATATATTTGCTAAATAAAAATATTTGCCAAAGCTGGCATGGATTGTACTTGAACTCTGGAAAACATATATGCACTTAAGGCAGTTTAACTGAAAGAAAAAAATTAATGTATTGATTTTAACCACATCATAAGGATGATACAGCACCCATCCTACCTCCCCCGACCTTTTGCTGGCCTGTAAGTTAGCCTCTACCTTTTATATTTTTCCCAATTATTTTTAGAAATTTAAAAACTGCAGAAGAGTGCATAGAAAAAAATTAACAACTCTCCAATACACACTTCCCAGATCTATTAATAAACTATATACTTTTACATACAAGGCTTTTTTACTTAAAAAAATAAAGTTCCCATTTGTCACCAATCCCCAGTACCATTTCTCCCCCCCCCAAGCCTTCTCCCCAAAGGCAACTTTGTTGTATATCCTTACTGTCCATTTTTATATCTTACATGTTATATCCATGAACAGTAGATAGTACTGTTCTATGTGTTTTATGTACACATAAAAGGTGCCAAGATATACATATTCTGCAACTTTGTTCCTGTTATCGTTGTTTTTGAGCAATGTTTAAATTAATATAATCTCCTCGTTCCTTCTAACTGGTATACTGTACGTATTTCATCATGTATATACTGTCTTTTATTTATTGAACCATTTCAGTTTTAAGGCGCCTTGGTTATCTTGTGGACTCAGTTTGAATTGTTTTCCAGTGAGGGGTTTGCTAAGCATAATCCTGGGAGGCTGGGTGGGAATCCAGTCCTTGGACACTGCAGGGTCAGCTAAGGTTGGCTGAAGCTGGGCCAGGGCCTTTTTTGTGGGCTGATGGCCAGGGTCCTGACAGTATCACACAACTGCCTAGCTGCCCAGCAATATCACACAAGTGTAATGTGTTAAGTAGATAGACATACCCATAATATTTCTTTTGTATTGAGAAGTATGAACAAGTTTTCAAAGGCATTTATTTTTTATGCATTTGACTGTAAGATCTTAACAGTTAAAAAATGACTACACAAAGTTCTAAATATCTAAAAAGAAGCTAAAATGTTTCAACGAAAAACCATCAGAGTACCTTCGTTCTCTCACGGTTTTATCTTAATAACAAAAATGGCTACTATCTATTGAAAATCTACCATATTCCAAGAACTGTGTTAAATTTCTCTGTCTCTCTCTGTCTCTATATGATTTCATTTAATCCTTGTGACAATCCTATAAAGTAGGTATTGCTACAACTGATTGCATACAGTATTATGCAATCAGTTTAGGGAAAATCGTTGTATACAGTACTATGCAACTTTTAGGGAAAATTGGGGAAATATCTGTCTTCTGCATTGTTGTAATGAAGAAGATGGATATTTAACTACAAATAGTTTTCAAAAGTAATAAACAGAAAGAGCCATGAAAAATTGTTTCCTAACTATGAAAAATTACAATAGCATCACTGTTAAATTACAAAATGATTCAATAACATTATTTGTTGAATGAAAAGATAGAATGTTAGGAGTTTTGTCGTTTCATTCTTTAACAAGTTATTTAAAATGTTCGTAAACCCTTGTATTAATTTACGCTAAATTATTAGAATATTCTTCCTTTTACAAACTTACAAAATAGTAGAGGGAGAAGTGACTACTTCGGGAAGAGAGAATAAATACATAGATATGGGGAATGAAATCACAGTAGATTCTTATTATTTGTGGTAGTTATGTTCTATAACATCACCGCAAACACTGAATTAGTGAATACTAAACCATTGCTCCTGGGGAAATACATGGTTAGGTTCCTGCAAGCCTCTGGTCACAACATTTTCACCAACTGATTAGTACGTAACCTTGTTTTATGTGTGTTTCTGTTTAAAGACATCTTATCTAACATATATTTTGTTTCATTAACATTGAACTCACAGTCAACAGTTGTAACTCAAGCCTGAATGAAGATTATTCAACGTTTTCTCTGGAAGGCACATAACGGCCTTCTTGCACTTAGAACACTAGACAATCCCTCAGCGTTATGCTTGGGGGCCATTTCAAACAGTGAGATCACCAACAAAAAGCCTAAAAATTTGAAAAACGTGGTACTAAATATACCAACAAAAGGACACTCGTTTACATATGAGAGCTGAAACAAGAAGGCAAAGCATCGCTTTGTTCAATCTCAGCTGAGAATGTGTGCGTCAAGCAACTCAAATTTTTGACTGCTCTGTGTATGTCTGCGAATGACTGTGAGTACTGATTTTGGGGTAACAAATAAATTTTAGTGTACAGGTGAATTTGCAAGTACACAATCCACGAGTAATGAGTATTGACTGTACTTTAATATATCATGAGAATCAAGAGATAAAGAGAGACTCTCCTAGATATCAAATCTACAAAGAATATTTCTACAGTAACTGGCCAGGTTAGGGAAGAAGGAAATGGAAAAACTCCATGAGTTCATGAAATGAACAATTAGTCAAAATCCAGTCTTCCAGTCCAGAGAGCCTCCCTGTGGAGTCTCTTTTACTATTTTCTATTCCCTGCTGACATTTAATAATAAACATTTTTACTAATGGACACTCTAAAACCTACTTGATTAAGCACTAGATGTTCATATAATCACATTTCTAATTATTAATGGAGATAATTGCCACTTCTCATTTCATTGCATGTATTGTCATATGTTATCCTTATCTCCACTAATTTAAAAAAAAAAAAATCCAGGTATGTATCGGTGAATGGTACAAGAAATAAGAGGGAAGAGAAATTGCATCTTGCTCTACACTGTCAGTTTAGAATCTGAGTACCTTGATGTAGAAAGAACAAATCTGGGTGGGATCTAAATAGAATCCTAGACTCTGAAACTCATAGAGAAAGTATGAAGATTTAAGGAAATTTAACATGCTAAGCGTTATTTCTTGGTTTTAAAGTGAAAGTGTGATTTTTTAGTCACTTAATCATTTTCCAGCTGCACAAAAAAATCAGGTTACCAAATAAATTTATATGGACATATAGACAGAAGATTTGATCCTTCATTTACAGAAAAATCATAACATATTTAAAATCGGTGGAATATTTTCTTTAATGAAGCTATTTCCAATTTTAGGTACAAAGTTACCCTGAGTAGTATGTTAAATAAATATGTTAATATTTCTTTTGTGATTATATACATCAGTTTAAAGATATTTATTTATCTACAGTTTGACTGTAGGACAGTGAGGATTAAAATGACTACACAAAGTTCTAAACATCTAATCTGGCAGTAGAATGTTTAAGCTGAAAAAACATCAGATAATTTTGTTTCTTTCACCTGTATCTTTATAATACATATAGCTATTTACTAAATACTATGTGCAAAGCGCTGTGCTAAGGTTCTCTCTCTATTATTTCATTTAATTCTTATAACAATCCTAAGAGGTAAGTATTAATATTATCATTTTAGAAATAGGAATTTAAGCTCAGAGAAGTTAAGAAATGTATCCAAGGGCACACAGCTATGATGTGGCAAAAACAAGATTTGAACCCAGGTCATTATGATCTCTTAACCATCTTGTTTCAAATGCACCTTCCTTTTTTCAGCCTCTTCCCCTCAGTCTACAAAAGCAGTAAATCTTTGTGATTTAAAAAATTCTT